GGTAGTTTTAGAACTCTATCTCACTTTACAGATAAGAAAAATGAGGATTTCAAACTCAACGTGTTGTACCCAGTGCTGAATACTGGTGAGATAAAATGAGAATCTTCAGCATTGAGCTTTGTAATTTAGTCATGAGCAGTCACAAATTTGAAACTCATCAGAAATATTTGAGGAGTTTGTGAAAAGTGCAAATTCCTGGACCTTAGTCTGCACTCAGGGCCCAGATATTCTACCTGTTAATAAATTTTCCTGGTCACGTAGGTACAGGGAATGTGAGGACAACACCCTGAGAATCAGGGCAAATAAATCGGGTGCCAGGGAAACCTCTTATAGAAGGAGCAGAGCCCTACCTGAACATAAGAGCTAGTTGTGGTGCATAAGAAAGGGAAACTAGGACAGATATTTTCTATACCACAAAGCATGCAAAGCAGATACTTACTGTGGAAACAAGAAACACTAGTACACTTGTCAAATGTACCCTCATTGTGTAGATGGGAACTAGATTTATAAAACCAGTGAACACAGACATTCAGATCTAATCCTCACTTGGCAGATGCCAGCTCTTCTTTGGTACAGTTCTGCTCTAAGAAAAGACCTGAAAAGCTATTTCCAGACTATATAAGCATTTCGAGGGTCATCACATAGAAACTTATAACCTATGCCTCCTATTGTATAAATGAGTAATACAATAAAAGAGGGGAGAGACAAAATATGACATAGTTTAAGCTTTTTTTTAATTTCCCACAAATATGCAGTTGCATTCATATTCCTAAATAAGAAATTTACTCTTATCAGTTTTGATTGTTGCTCAATTTGTGTGCCCTTATGTATAGAAATAGTAATGAAAGCAATTGTGTCCATCAAAGTACATATCATAAAATTCCTTTGCTATTCTATTATTTCCCTAAATATGTCATTTAAAAAATCACTCTAAAGAAAGAAAAGAGAATAAAAATTCTATCAAATTTATTTTTATTGAGCACCTTTGGATTTTTAAGGACATGAAAATGAAAAATATGTTTTTATGAGCACCAAAAATAGACTTTGGAACTCTATCATAAGTCATCTCACTACATATAGAAACATTAAATTGGAGTGAAGGTCAAATCAATTCCTATAAGAATGCATATTCTACTTTAACTCCAGGAAAAAATGATGAAACTCTGCAAGCCATTTTCTGTATGCTTTCTATTATAAAAAAATAAGTTCTAAAGTACAAGAATTACTTCTCCAAACTCCTTGTAGACTCTAACAATGAATAAAGCAAAAGGAGCTTCGATGGCTTTTAAAGCGCCCCATGATTGACCTCATTGACATTGAACACACCTTTTTGAAGCCTATTGGCTGACTGTAAGCATAGGAGATACAATGATGTTCTAGCTAAAGGGAGTAACATTTATAAAACTCAAAAAATGCTAGAGTAAGAAAGATCAGAGCATTTGTGAGCAAGATCAAGTACTCCAATGTGTTTGAAGCAGAAGAGTCGGAAGGGGAGAGATACAAGTGTTGAGATTAGAGTTAAGGATGGGCCAGGAGCATATCTATAAGCCACAGTAATATTGGTATTTAGAGCTACTGAAATACTTTAAAAGAGAAAATAGATTAGATATTTAGATTCTATTAAGATCCCTCTGACTACAGTATGGAAAATGAATCAGAGAGGCAGATTTTAAGAAAGATGAATTTGTTGGACTGTGACATTGTTCAAGGCCTGGAATGCTCTTACCTCACACTTTGGGGGGGAAGGCTACCTTTTCTAGCAGGATGTGTTGGTTGTAAAGCTCCCATATTGACAATTTTCTCTTAAAGATCAACTAGCTTGATTTTCTATATTGTATTTACTAAATACTAGGTTATTTCCAATCTATTTATTTACTTTTTTGTCTTCTACTTTAATACAGACATAATGATAAAAATAGACATTTCCAGGGAAAGCTGTTTCTTGAGAGTAACTATTACTGAAAGCCAATAGGAACACTGGTGATTGGAAGAAAGAATGAATGGAGTTAATAGTTCAAATAAGTGTATAGTATGAACTCTCCTAAAGCAGGTAAGATAGACCAAGTTTTAAAGAGTTTTTAAAATAAGGCTGAGGAAAACAAACATAAAGCAGTCAGTTACGTTAAGAAATTAAAAGTAAAAAATTATACATCTAGGGAAAGCTACTTACCAAGACATAATGACAGCCTAATTGTAATGTTAGAAATTTTCATAAAAATGTAATTTTATTGATCATTACAATGTGTGGGGCATTATGCTCAGAACTTTACAATAAAAATATCAAATCATTTCATCTTCATAAACCCCATGGATAAAGTCTCTTCTCTACTATTATTTTACAAATATAAAAACAAACTGGACTTGAGGACTCAATGACACATAAGCAGGAAAGCAAAATAATAAAATGAACTAAAAAAATTTAGATAGGAGTCTAGAAACCTAAGTTATAGTGTCATCTTTGTCACAAATTGGTTGTGCAATTTTATAAAACACAATTAACTGAAATGTAACTTGTTTCACTATCTGCATGTTGAAGCAAAGGAAACTGCTTGGTATTTTAAATCCAAATCAGCCACATTAGACTTACCCTGTCTTCCTTTTGGTCTATTCCCATCACATTTATTTGTAAAGATACTTTGAATAGCATTCACATCTTTTAAGAGAATAAAGATTTAGGTAAAAATCAGATGTGAGTTGGTTATAAAATCTTTATAGGTATTCATGAAAGTGGTACCTAATCAATGACCACACTGACCTTGACTAATCCTAATGTGGTACCATGAATTTTAAATGTAATTTCCTGATAAATTTTTGATTAGTGCAGTCCCTACCTTGTTGTGATACCTGTGCAACAACTAATGGGACACTGAGTGACTTGGGTAGAGGTAGCAAATTTACAATTAGAGTAATAGTCATTATATATGTAGTATTTATTAAATATGAATATTGTGTTAAAATTTATTCATATGGCATTTCATTTAATGATCATAGTAGCATCTTAAGGTATTTTTTTGACATCTTCATTTTACACATAGTGAAACAAAGGCTCTCAGGTAAGTTATTTGTCTACCATCGTTGTTATTGACTGAATTATGTCCCCTCAAGATGCATACATTGAAGCGGTAGCCGCTAGTATGACTGTATTTGTAGAAAAGACCTTTAAAGAAGTAATTAACCTTAAGCGAAGTCATAAGGATGAGCCCCTAATTCA